GCCCCGGTATTTTTCAAAAATATCAAAATATAATTTTTGCTCATATTTTCTATTTTATTATATTCCCTAACCATCCCTATTTTTGGGTCAAGATGTCAATCAAGATGCGCCAACATCCCCGCGCAGTATCCCATATTGGTGCTTCAATGCCCCTGTCACACAAGCGAACCGCGCAGAAGTAATAATATCCCTGGCGGTACCATTTTGACGCCAAAATTTCATGTCAAAATACTCTGGATACCACGGGCTCCCTATTAAAATACATCTAACTATTAAATATTATTAAAACATAACATAGATAGGTTCCTGTTTGTCTATATATTTACCTGATTTTTTTTTAAATAAATATTCTTTTTTTCGTTTCAATTTTAACAAAAAACGCAATAAATTCACTACAAAATACAAGGATTCCAATCTTAAAAAATCCACAATGGAATTCGGTAATTTCTCTACAAATTATCTGGCCTTAAAAAATTCCTTTTTCGATCAAATTTCTATCTTTACCCATAGGTCCCGGTATTTTTTCTATAAAATAATTTATTATCCAAAATTAAAATAGGTCTTGGACCTTTTCACAAGATAGCCTCACTAAAAAATAATCCATAAAAACCCATTTTATAGGGGCCTTAAAATCACCCATTTTGCATAGAAAATTCGAAAAAAAAATAAATAATTAAAATCAAAAAATCAACAATAATATCACAACCAAAAATAACAACCAACAACAACAACGAACAACGAACAACAACAACGAACAACCACAACGAACAACAACAACAACAATAACAACAACAACAACAACAAAACAACAACAAAACAACAACAACAACACAATAACAAAACAACTACCAAAACAACAACCAGAACAACAACAACAACAACAACCACAACAACAACCAGAACAACAACCAAAACAACAACCAAAACAACAACCAGAACAACAACCCCAACAACAACAACAACACCAACACCACCACCAACAACAACAACAACGACAACAACAACAACAACGACAGCAACAAAAACAACAACACCAACACCAACACCAACGCCAACACCAACGCCAACACCAACGCCAACACCAACGCCAACACCAACGCCAACAACGCCAACGCCAACACCAACGCCAACCCCAACACCAACAACAAGAACAACAACAATAACAACAACAACAACAACAACAACAACAACAGATCCATGAGAGACCTACCGAGCGACAGTGGACGCAAAACCAAAGCTCCCAGAAGACCCTTTTTCGAATGGAACTGAAAGACCGACCGAGCGACAGTGGGGCGAAGAGTGCACTCAAAAAAGTGATAGACGTATGCGGTACACTCAGAAGAACGGAAATGTAAAACGAAAACGCAACTGATGCAGGAGAGATCGACCGAGCAACAGTGGGGCCGAAAGTGCACTCAAAAGAGTGATAGACACATGCGGTACATGCAGAAGAACGGAAACGTAAAACGAAAGCTCAACTGATCCATGAGAGACCTACGGGGGAAACTCAGAAGACACATGCTCAAACACAACTGAATACCGAGCGACACTGGACCAGGGGGGAATTGAACCTCCGACCGACCCTGACCGACCGTACTGCATTTACTTAGTGGGACACTGACTGGGGAGAAAAGAATTTTTTTCCAAAAAAATCACTTTTTTGGGAAAATCATTTTTTGATTTTCCCAAAATAATAATAAAATTTCGACCTCCGCGCAGGGGCTCACGAAGCACAAATTTAGTTTGTATTCGCGCAGACTAAATTTGTATTCGCCAATCTTCCCAAAAAAATAGCAGATTTTTGGGAAAATTAGCCTCGAGAAACTGCGCGCGCGCGCTCTAGGTCAGGCTAAATCGTAATATTAGTGGTAATAATATAATCAAAATTTATAAATTATTATAATTATAATTTTAAGAAAAACATCAAAATAATACATTAATTTTATTAATCAATATATTAAAAATTATAAATATATTTCCAAACTTTATATCCATATATAATTATTTATGACTATAATTATTTATTATTATATAAATTTCCAATAATATTTCTAATATTTCTCCCAACCATTTTTGTTCAATTTTTTTATTCTAAAATCATTTATATTTATACCTAAAAAAAATCAATTTAAAATTTTCCATTTAAATATTATTTTATAAATACAATAAATATAATTATTATAATAAATATAATAAATATAATTAATCTAATTAATATATATATATATATTTAATTTTCCTTTAAATTAATACTAATCAATATTAATTATTTCAAAATAATTTCGAATATAATATTTTATTTTTTTTTTCAATTTATATAATACAATATATATATATTAATAACATATTTATATAAATTATTTATTTTATATAATAATATTTATTATTATTATATTTTAGAATTATTTAATAAATTAGATATAAATATATATATATATACGGTAATGCCACTTAAATATACAAATTTTTAAATATCCAAACCGGTATTCTAGACTACCTCCGGGAAGGTTTTCCTTAGCCCGCCCGACCATTTAAATATACGGAATCCAATTCATTTAAACATCCGGCAACTACATTTAAATATACGAATTAGTATTTTATATTACCTCCGGGGCCTCGCGGTCTGGCCCGCCCTCCACATATTTAAATATCGTTACCGTATATATATTATAAACTATTAAAACATAAATAATTAAATTAGATAAAATTAATAATTAATATTCAATAAATTCCCATCGATTATCAATATATCGGGGAAAAAAAAGATTTTTTTTTTTCAATTTTATGATATAATTATTTTATATTGATAATATTCCAATGATCTTATAATTAATAATTTTTTAATAATTTTTTTTTATGCTCAAATACATTCCTTTGGCAAATTTATCCTCAATTAGGGTAAATATTTGCGTAATGCACTTGTGCACACATAAGAATTAATTGCTCTAATTTTGAATTATGGAAGACCTTGTCAACGATGTCACCTAAGAATATCACGACAAATATCGCAGCTGGGGAAAACCAAACAGGTCTGAGTCAGGTTCACACATTTTTTATCATTTTTTTTGAACTGCGGAAAAACACTTGCTTCATGCAAGGATTCCTTGCGAAGCAATATGTGATTTTGCGAGATATAAGGACGCACCATCACAAACACATCCTGTAGTTCTGGGCAAACTATTATCGTAATTCCCAACTCAGAAATACGCCCATTGGGGTGTGTCTGAAAATCGGGTATACCCCGGAAACAGCAATTTTAGTAGGACACATATGATTAACCACTGGATGGAATGGGTTTTTCCCCTAAATTTTTAGAGGTCGTTGAGTCTGGCACCATCATCGTGTAGCTGGGAAGCTGGTCTCCTCAGACGTTGACGGCATCGGTATCTGGGGAGTCATGCAAATCCAAGAATAAACCATCAATTTCTGAAGGTTTAATGACAACTAATAACCCCATATGATCAACATATTATATCCAAGTATATTTATATATATAAATAAATAGATAGATAGATAGATAGATAAATAAAAATAAATAAAATAAAATAAATAAATATATTCCAAATACAATATATCCAACAGCATCCAATCGGTATGTTTCGACCTGTGGTTCGTACATGGCTGATTCACCAATTTACCACATCGTAGAATTCCTATTGGGTTTGCCACATGGGTTTGTCTGAGAATAAAGTACCACCAATTTTGATAGTTTATTGTAATTTTCCCCATTGAAACGGCCAGAAATAGAGGGTATCCCCCATTCTCAGACACACCCATATTAGTCAAAAATCGGTCAAACCCTCTGTCATTACATTGTGCAAATTGAGTCATAGGGGCCCACAATCTGGATGATCAAAATCCCGTATATGCTATTATTGTAGATAGTATCATCTCCTAAATTAAGCCATCAGCAGTTTTGGTGATCTTGATCAACTTATCGACCATCTCAAGTTGCTGAGTTCCCAGCCACCAATCCTCTCAATGATACATCATCTTCAGCAGCTGCAGATCGATCAGAAACTGGCAGACAAAAAGCGCCGTGGAGGACCGTCGGACTTCGGGGCTGTTTTGGAATATGGGACAGATATCCATTCATCACACACACACATGTATAGTATAGTACATATATATATACACAATTACAAGTACAGACTTAAAATATGTATATATATATGTATACATATGTAAATATTATATACACCACATCACATAAAGTGATGAACCATGATATAGATCATCTGTCTCCCTATCGGTTGTCTCTGTATCGCCTGGATCAACAGAATTTCTGCCTACAGCGCAGGCTGCTTGTTGTGCCAATCGCTCTTGCTGGCGCTGCTGTTCCGCTTGAAGTCGCATCTGAGCAGGGCAAGGACCAGTACCAACTAGGTTTGAAAACTTCCAGATTGTATATTCAGATTGTGGCTTTGTTCAATGCTTCAAAGTCAATCTAAGGGTTTGAAGACACAACTACTTAGACATACTTAGACTACTTCAAGAGAAGTAACTTCCCATGACCTTTTTGAGCCCTCCAACTGTGAGCAAAGGCTAAATGGTGAGCTTTTGGCCATTGCCTGGTCAATGTCTGCTACATGTTGAGCCTCAGCTGTGAAGATCCGGCCATCTGTGACCGACAGGAAACATGGCCAGCAGCTGGGGGTATCACGCTGTTGAACTCTCCGGGGCCTTAGAGCCAGCAACTGTGGATGGACAAATCGTGCACCAGTTGGTAGATGGTTTATCCCATAGTTGGTAGATGGTTGATTACACTCCCATTATTTACAGTGTTTCATAGTTAGCAACACTTACCAGTGCAGGATTTCTGTCCATCCACAATATGCAACCTCACCTTGCACTGAGCCCAGAGACTCCATCGAGCTTCATAGCCATGCAGCTCATCCGGGTTGTGCGCGAACCTGCAGGGCCCATGTTCTCTTTATCAGGATTCCCCGCTGTCTGCACATTCATCGCGTCGATCCCCTAGTATGGATAAGGCAATCAACAAGTTCAGACTACTATCGGTTATCAGTTGCTTGCCTTTCAAAATTCCACGCGTGCAAATAAAGTGAATTAAGACTTCACAAAAATGCTTGTTGAAATCAGCTTTGACTATTGGATGAAATACCATGAAGGACCCCCGATGTTCAAGGCAACTCAGATTCCTGCGGGCAATTCTGCTCCTTAGCACAGACGCCAGCCTGCGTTTCTCTGGGTAACGCCGTGCCCACAGGAAACGTGTTTTGACAGAGCGCAGCATTTCTACCACTCACACTGGAGGCATCCCTTTTTTAGACATCGGGAGCCTCCAAGAACTCCAAACACATCTCTCGCTTTTGAGGACCTCACAGCAGCATGCCATCAGGGTGAAGGTCTAAAAAATGACAATGTCACTCACAATACTTGGATATACTTGGGTTTGTCTGAAAAAGTGTACCCCAAAACCCACTGGTTAATCACCATTTTCATCATTTTCCCTATTAAATGGCTATAATTGGGGTATACCCGCTTTCCAGACACACCCACTCATTCCAGAAAGAAGATTCAAAATGAAACACACCTCCTCAATGCGGTGCCTGTGACAGTGGTTGGTGGAATCTCGCACGCGTTGACAAGGAGCCGCATGAGAGCAGCATCCTAAGCAACTCTCAGCTCATTGCTCCATGAAATCACAGGAAGAGACAGAGCAGTGTTGACATCAGCATCCAATCTCAATTGCTGTTGGGCAGGTGGAAATCTAGAATCTAGTGGAACAAGTCTAACCACATTGCAGCACATTGCAGCTTTCAGGACATCACTGGCCATGGACCTCCATTTTTTCCATCCTTTTTCACTTGCCGCGCGAGTGAAGTGCACGATGGTCGTTTCGCAGCAGTTGATGGCCATCACCAGCCATTTTTCGATGTAACCTTCCTGTGTTACCTTCCGGTGACATGGAGCGGAGATGTAGCTGGAACCTCCAAGGTGGCCATCTGCTTCTGTTGCTTTCGGGCAGCCTTCGCTGCAGGTTTGTCTGCTTCTTCATCACTTGACTCTTGCTCAGCTGGAGCAGCCTTTGCAGAAGGCTCGTCCAGTTCTTCCTCGTCCTACTCCTCACTTTCCTCCTCACTCTCTTCCTGCTGCTTCTGTTGCTTTCGGGCAGCCTTTGCCGCAGGTTTGTCTACAGTCTTCATCACTTGACTCTTGCTCAGCTGGAGCAGCCTTTGCAGAAGGCTCGTCCAGTTCTTCCTCGTCCTACTCCTCACTTTCCTCCTCACTCTCTTCCTGCTGCTTCTGTTGCTTTCGGGCAGCCTTTGCCGCAGGTTTGTCTACAGTCTTCATCACTTGACTCTTGCTCAGCTGGAGCAGCCTTTGCAGAAGGCTCGTCCAGTTCTTCCTCGTCCTACTCCTCAGTTTCCTCCTCACTCTCTTCCTGCTGCTTCTGTTGCTTTCGGGCAGCCTTTGCCGCAGGTTTGTCTACAGTCTTCATCACTTGACTCTTGCTCAGCTGGAGCAGCTTTTGCAGAAGGCTCGTCCAGTTCTTCCTCGTCCTCCTCCTCACTTTCCTCCTCACTCTCTTCCTGCTGCTTCTGTTGCTTTCGGGCAGCCTTTGCCGCAGGTTTGTCTACAGTCTTCATCACTTGACTCTTGCTCAGCTGGAGCAGCCTTTGCAGAGGGCTCGTCCAGTTCTTCCTCGTCCTCCTCCTCACTCTCTTCCTCGCTCTCTTCCTGCTGCTTCTGTTGCTTTCGGGCAGCCTTTGCCGCAGGTTTGTCTACAGTCTTCATCACTTGACTCTTGCTCAGCTGGAGCAGCCTTTGCAGAAGGCTCGTCCAGTTCTTCCTCGTCCTCCTCCTCACTCTCCTCCTCGCTCTCTTCCTGCTGCTTCTGCTGCTTTCGGGCAGCCTTTGCCGCAGGTTTGTCTACAGTCTTCATCACTTGACTCTTGCTCAGCTGGAGCAGCCTTTGCAGAAGGCTCGTCCAGTTCTTCCTCGTCCTCCTCCTCACTCTCCTCCTCGCTCTCTTCCTGCTGCTTCTGCTGCTTTCGGGCAGCCTTTGCCGCAGGTTTGTCTACAGTCTTCATCACTTGACTCTTGCTCAGCTGGAGCAGCCTTTGCAGAAGGCTCGTCCAGTTCTTCCTCGTCCTCCTCCTCACTCTCCTCCTCACTCTCTTCCTGCTGCTTCTGTTGCTTTCGGGCAGCCTTTGCCGCAGGTTTGTCTACAGTCTTCATCACTTGACTCTTTCTCAGCTGGAGCAGCCTTTGAAAATAATATACCACACTTGATCAAATCCCTGAGATAACTTTTGAAAAATGTTATTCTTGCTTGATGCTTCTCCATATTCTTGAACTTCAGATTATTTGCGCATATTCTTGTTTAATCCATATGTATTTTTATTTGATCCGTCGCCCCTACTCCTTGCTTCGCTCCTTCCGTCTTGTTTTGGCTTTGGCTTCTCAGGCTAATTCCTGCTCGCCCACCAGCCTATTACTTCACCCACTTGAAGGATTAGCTACATATACCTGTTTGACACATGTTGTTCTTTATTATGCGTATATACATGCATGTTTTAGGTGTACTGTAGGGGTGATAAAAACCTATAGAAACAAACATCCTTGGAACAAATTTGTAAGAAAACAAAGATTTCAATAGTAGGTTCATATTTCAACCTTTCACTACTGCAATCAACATCAGGAATCGCACCATTCAAGAAAATTGATCCCTCAACTTGCTATCAATGTACTAATTTTGAGATGATGGAATTTCTACAGTATCAGCTCTTCAGCATACTTGTGATTTATGATAATAAGTAAAAATGAACTTGGACTAAAACCATTGGGTCCCCCCAATAAAGGCCTAGATCCCATTCCTTTCAGCTCGAAAATCTTCTCAAACGTCTTGAGCTCAAGGCGTTTAGACTATCTTGGGATCATCGGGTGCCTTTGGCTTGCATTCCAGCTAGGTTTTTAGCGGCCAAGGCACTTAGGCACTTACCGTTCAAGTCTCACGGGAACTATCCAGTTTGATGTGCTTAAGCAACGCCAATCACGTTAGCAGGCCTTTTAGTACGGCAAAATGACCAAACACCTTTTTTTGGGATAACCGCCACCCACTTGGTATGTCGCGCCTAAAACGAGGTCCTGCTACAAAGCTAGGACAGCAACCACAGCTTGAGCCACCAAAGGGCTCAGGTCGGACCCACTTAAACTACTTAGTTTAAGCTGATTGTCTTGAGAGACATAAAACGAATTTGAGCGAGGCTTTCAAAAACCCAAACAACTCGGTTCTCCGTGTTCTATGGCGCCCCAGCTGCGCCTATTGTAACTGCAACCTGCCCAGAGCCCCCGCCTTTGATCCGTTGCCATGAGTCTACCCCCCCCAAAGGCTCTTCGCAAAGGAAAAGGCACCTTTTCGTGCTCGGCGAGCGAGACATCCGTCATCGCCCATGCTCACTCAGCTTGGAGGAACTTTCCGGTTTTGACCTTCACCCAGAGCTGAGCTCCCGTGTCTTCTCTCTCTCGAGGTGTTTAGACAAAAGAACCTTGTGTTTACGTTGTCAGGATGTGTTTGCAAAGACTATGGAAAATGATGTGGCTTTGGTGTTAATTTTCACAGGTCAGGGTTTCAAGGTGGAAGCAAAAAAATTGGAATCCTGGCTTTTTTGGGGATTGAAGGTTTTTCACAGCTGACAGCCTGTCAGCTTGACTGCTGCGAGCAAAAAGGGAACGTACGGTTTTTTTGGGCTGCATCTCCAGGACAGGAAGGCAAATTGTGACAAACTTTCAATCCCCAAAAAAATGATTCCAAAATTATGTTTCTCCCCTGGACCTGTGCAAATCAACAGGCTGTGGTTCACTCAGTGAGGTGTGTTGTTCTTTATAGTTCTTGATTTCTTTCTGGGATGGAAGAAAGAGAAACGTACTGTTTTCTTCAGTCACTAGAGTCCAAAGAGAATCTCAGGTAGCATTGGTATAGCATTCTTCGCACGCATGTTTGTTCCCCAATGATGAACATCCCAACGCCTAAGCCTTTACAGGTAGGGAGAACACAGTAGGAAACCTTGGGAAGCCCGAGTCAATATTGGGTCAAAAGCCTCATTCAAATCAAACCGGAAGTGGTTTTCGATCTATAAAACCTTTTGTTTGGCCATTGGGCGTCGAAACCAAAGCCCTTTGGACAATGGTTAACGGTTACCTTTCTATTATTTAGAGAAAGAGCAAAACATCGTCCCGAAAAGGCCCTTAAGAAAGGCCCAAACATTAAAAACATCACCCCAAAAATCACCTTTCAAAGGGCTCCAGACGGGTAACTCCGGTCACTCCGGTAATCAGTAGCTCAGTAGGTTCCCTTCTTCGGTAACCGAGTGACTCGCAAAACCCCAGGCGTCTCCAGGCCTTGGCGGCTGAGATCTCTTCTTCCAATTGCTCCACCTACGGCGAAGCGCCGGGCTGGACGTTCGTCGTATCAAAACAAAGACCCCGTTTGGTAGTCTTTTAGGAGGCAACTTGGCTATCTGAGCTCAGCACTCTAAACGAAGGCCTATGGGTTTTTGACCTGTCAAAGACTTCGTAGGAGGGATGCCGATGATGGTTGAGGCACCTGAAAGCCATTCCACAGCATCCTGCTAGTAGCGGATTGTCAAAGGATCATCAAACGATCATTTTTTGTTCCAGCATTTGGAAGCGGCAACTATGTATATTATAAGCACCCTATGCCCTATGTCTTGCACCCGCTGTGGGGTGAAAGTAGTTCAATCTGTTCGACTGTACGAAATTCCACGAGCCTGTATGCAAAAACCTAATTAGTTAAATATACTGTACATGTATGTTAAGATGCAATTGATTTTGTGCGGCCTCTTCTGTCACTTCTGGACCGACCGCGCTAGGTGGAAACAATGATGGATATTCCGCGAGGTGGTGGAACCTCTGTCACTTCCGAACGCTCTGTGCGCCAAAATCTCCAGACCTTCCCCGTGCCACCATCCGCTAAACTCCAACGAAGCAGTCGGCCTGCTTCGCCCATGCGTTCCAAATTGTCCGACGTTTGCCAGGTTTTCAAGAGACCTGAACGTTCGTCAAAGATCAGGGACTGCAATTGTTCATTGAAACCCGGAATCGAAACATACTTTTGGATCTTGGTCAAAATAATCTGGAGATCGTTTTCGTTGGTGCATTCCATGTTTGCGATATCTATCTTCTGAAGGGTCCTCTGTCGTCGTATCAAAACCTTTTTTGACACGAGTTTCAAGCTTTGATGCATCCGAAGACGTTTGCCCTCCGCAATCTCAGCAATGCACCAGGCGCGATTGAATAGGTCCATGGATCCGTCCACCGCAATCAAATGTTTACAGCGGCCTGTGGCAACTAGGTGTTTCATCATGTCATCGAACTTGTTGATTTCGGATTCAGCTGCACGGCCATCTGGATCGTCGATTTTGTCCACTGAACAGTTGCAAGTTGGATGGAACCGCTTGAATACAGGATCCCAATCATATGGATTGGAATTACAGATTGAGATGTGCTGATTCACGGAGAAAGCACACACCCAATAAACATCCTCTAGCCGACGCCCTAAGATGCTGCGAAGAAGCTGTGGGTCCTCAGGGTTTGAATTAAGAGCCTCAAACAAAACCAATGTGTTGTTATCTAACTCAAGACATTACAAGCAATCTTGGCAAGCCAAGGGCGGAAGTTTCCAAAAGGAAAAAAACAACTATAGGAAGTGGCTGTGCAACACATGCCACCTTCGCTCTTTTTATTTTTCCTAATGCCTGAGTCACCAATGCTGCTTGCGTGGCAAGTCCTATTGAAAGTTTTGCTTTCTCTGTACTTTTCTATTGAAATCTCTGCTTCCTCTGTATCAAAATCTCTACTTTCCTTGTACTTTCCTACTGAAATCTCTTGTGCTTACTCTGTACTTTTTGCATGGGATCTCGAACTTTCTCTGCACTTTTCTACTGAAATCTCTACTCTCTTTGTACTTTTCTATTGAAATCTCTATTTTGTGCACTTCCTATTGAAATCTCTAATCTCTCTGTTCTTGTCTAATAGTATCTGTACTTTCTCTGCACTTTTCGAATGAAATCTCTACTTTCTCTGTACTTGTCCAAGAGAATCTCCACTTTCTCTGCACTTTTCTTTTGAAATCCACTTTCTCTGCACATTCCATTGATGTCTTCACTTTCTGTATACTTTTCCAATAGAATCTCTACTTTCTCTGTACTTTCCTTTTGAAATCTTGACTCTCTCTATACTTTTCCAATCAAATTTCTACTTTCTGTGTGCTTTTCTACTGAAATCTTTACTTTCTCTAACTTGTCCACTAGAATCTCTACTATCTCTTCACTTTCCTATTGAAATCTCTACTTTCTCTATACTTGTCCACTAGAATCTCTACTATCTCATCACTTTCCTATTGAAATCTCTACTTTCTCACTTTTCCACTGGAATCTGTACTTTCTCTGAACTTTTGAAATATCTACTTTCTCTATACTTTTCCACTAGAACCTCTACTTTCCCTCGACGTCTAATGAAACCTCTGCTTTCTCTGCACTTTTCTATTGAAATCTTTACTTGCTCTATACTTTTCCACTAGAATTCCTACTTTCTCTGTACTTGTTCCATTGAACTCTCTATTTTTCAAATAGAATCTCTACTTTCTCTGTACATCTAATGAAATCTCTACTTTCTCTGAGCTTTTCTATTGAAATCTCAGCTGTCTCTATACTTTTCCAATAGAATGTCTACTTTCTCTGTACTTTTCTGCTGAAACCTTTTCTTTATACTTGTCCACCAGAATCTCTACTTTCTCTTCACTTTCCTATTGAAATCTCTACTTTCTCCATACTTTACCAATAGAATCTTGACTTTTGGATTGAAATCTCTACTTTCTCTGTACTTTTCTATTGAAATTTCATGAAATTTCTATTGTCTCGATACTTTTCCAATAGAATTGTTATTTTCTCTGTCGATACTTCTAATGATTCTAATGGAATCTCTACTTCCTCTGTATACTTTTCCATTGAAATCCTCTATTGAAATCTCTACCTTCTCTTCCTTCTGCACAGGCCTGACAGTGCGGGAAACAACCATGCCTTGCTTCCCCCATTTCCCGCAATGTCACAGCTATCACACCTTCCTCTCTGAAAACTGGTGCGCAGCCCTGACAATGCGAGAAACAACCATGCCTTGCCTCCCCCGCTGTCACGGCTATTGCGCCTCCTTCTCCGAAACCTTCTGCGCAGCCCTGACTGTGCGAGAAGCAATCATGCCTTGCATCCCACAATGTCACAGCTATCGCACCTCCCTCTCGTGAAACCTTCTGCGCAGCCCTGACTGTGCGAGAAGCAACCATGCCTTGCTTCCCAATGTCACAGCTATCGCACATCCCTCTCTTGAAACCTTCTGCGCAGCCCTGACTGTGCGAGAAGCAACCATGCCTTGCTTCCCCCGCCGGTGTCACAGCTATCGCACCTCCCTCTCTTGAAACCTTCTGCGCAGCCCTGACAGTGCGAGAAGTAACCATGCCTTGCTTCCCCCAATGTCACAGCTATCACACCTCCTTCTCTTAAAACTTATGCGCAGCCCTGACAGTGCGAAAAGCAACCACGCATTGCTTCCCCCAATGTCACAGCTATCACACCTCCTTCTCTTAAAACTTATGCGCAGCCCTGACAGTGCGAAAAACAACCATGCATTGCTTCCCCCAATGTCACAGCTATCACACCTCCTTCTCTTAAAACTTATGCGCAGCCCTGACAGTGCGAAAAACAACCATGCATTGCTTCCCCCAATGTCACAGCTATCACACCTCCTTCTCTTAAAACTTATGCGCAGCCCTGCCAGTCCGAAAACAACCATGCATTGCTTCCCCCAATGTCACAGCTATCACACCTCCTTCTCTTAAAACTTATGCGCAGCCCTGACAGTGCGAAAAACAACCATGCATTGCTTCCCCCAATGTCACAGCTATCACACCTCCTTCTCTTAAAACTTATGCGCAGCCCTGCCAGTGCGAAAAACAACCATGCATTGCTTCCCCCAAAGTCACAGCTATCACACCTCCTTCTCTTAAAACTTATGCGCAGCCCTGACAGTGCGAAAAACAACCATGCATTGCTTCCCCCAATGTCACAGCTATCACACCTCCTTCCTTAAAACTTATGCGCAGCCCGCAGTGCGAAAAACAACATGCATTGCTTCCCCCATGCCACAAGTATTATCAACCTCCTTCTCTTTAACACTTATGCGCACAGCCCCTGACAGTGCGAAAAAAACAACCATGCATTGCTTCCCCAATGTACAGCTATCACACACCCTCCTTCTCTTAAAACTTATGAACGCAGCCCTTGACAGTGCGAAAAAAAACAACCACGCATGCTTCCACAATGTCACAGCTATCAACCTCCTTCTCTTAAAACTATGCGCAGCACTGCCAGTGGAAAAAACAAAAAAACAACCATGCATTGCTTCCCCCAATGTCACAGCTATCACACCTCCTTCTCTTAAAACTTATGCGCAGCCCTGACAGTGCGAAAAACAACCGTGCATTGCTTCCCCCAATGTCACAGCTATCACACCTCCTTCTCTTAAAACTTATGCGCGGCCCTGCCAGTACGAAAAACAACCATGCATTCATTGCTTCCCCCAATGTCACAGCTATCACACCTCCTTCTCTTAAAACTTATGCGCAGCCCTGACAGTGCGAAAAACAACCATGCATTGCTTCCCCCAATGTCACAGCTATCACACCTCCTTCTCTTAAAACTTATGCGCAGCCCTGCCAGTGCGAAAAACAACCACGCATTGCTTCCCCCAATGTCACAGCTATCACACCTCCTTCTCTTATGCGCAGCCCTGCCAGTGCGAAAAACAACCATGCATTGCTTCCCCCAATGTCACAGCTATCACACCTCCTTCTCTTAAAACTTATGCGCAGCCCTGACAGTGCGAAAAACAACCATGCATTGCTTCCCCCAATGTCACAGCTATCACACCTCCTTCTCTTAAAACTTATGCGCAGCCCTGCCAGTGCGAAAAACAACCATGCATTGCTTCCCCCAATGTCACAGCTATCACACCTCCTTCTCTTAAAACTTATGCGCAGCCCTGGCAGTGCGAAAAACAACCATGCATTGCTTCCCCCAATGTCACAGCTATCACACCTCCTTCTCTTAAAACTTATGCGCAGCCCTGCCAGTGCGAAAAACAACCACGCATTGCTTCCCCCAATGTCACAGCTATCACACCTCCTTCTCTTATGCGCAGCCCTGCCAGTGCGAAAAACAACCATGCATTGCTTCCCCCAATGTCACAGCTATCACACCTCCTTCTCTTAAAACTTATGCGCAGCCCTGACAGTGCGAAAAACAACCATGCATTGCTTCCCCCAATGTCACAGCTATCACACCTCCTTAACCATGCATTGCTTCCCCCAATGTCACAGCTATCACACCTCCTTCTCTTAAAACTTATGCGCAGCCCTGACAGTGCGAAAAACAACCATGCATTGCTTCCCCCAATGTCACAGCTATCACACCTCGTTCTCTTAAAACTTATGCGCAGCCCTGACAGTGCGAAAAACAACCATGCATTGCTTCCCCCAATGTCACAGCTATCACACCTCCTTCTCTTAAAACTTATGCGCAGCCCTGCCAGTCCGAAAAGCAACCATGCATTGCTTCCCCCAATGTCACAGCTATCACACCTCCTTCTCTTAAAACTTATGCGCAGCCCTGACAGCGCGAAAAACAACCATGCATTGCTTCCCCCAATGTCACAGCTATCACACCTCCTTCTCTTAAAACTTATGCGCAGCCCTGCCAGTGCGAAAAACAACCACGCATTGCTTCCCCCAATTTCACAGCTATCACACCTCCTTCTCTTAAAACTTATGCGCAGCCCTGACAGTGCGAAAAACAACCATGCATTGCTTCCCCCAATGTCACAGCTATCACACCCTCGTTCTCTTAAAACTTATGCGCAGCCCTGACAGTGCGAAAACAACCATGCATTGCTTCCCCCAATGTCACAGCTATCACACCTCCTTCTCTTAAAACTTATGCGCAGCCCTGACAGTGCGAAAAACAACCATGCATTGCTTCCCCCAATGTCACAGCTATCACACCTCGTTCTCTTAAAACTTATGCGCAGCCCTGACAGTGCGAAAAACAACCATGCATTGCTTCCCCCAATGTCACAGCTATCACACCTCCTTCTCTTAAAACTTATGCGCAGCCCTGCCAGTCCGAAAAGCAACCATGCATTGCTTCCCCCAATGTCACAGCTATCACACCTCCTTCTCTTAAAACTTATGCGCAGCCCTGACAGCGCGAAAAACAACCATGCATTGCTTCCCCCAATGTCACAGCTATCACACCTCCTTCTCTTAAAACTTATGCGCAGCCCTGCCAGTGCGAAAAACAACCACGCATTGCTTCCCCCAATTTCACAGCTATCACACCTCCTTCTCTTAAAACTTATGCGCAGCCCTGACAGTGCGAAAAACAACCATGCATTGCTTCCCCCAATGTCACAGCTATCACACCTCCTTCTCTTAAAACTTATGCGCAGCCCCTGGCAGTGCGAAAAACAACCATGCATTGCTTCCCCCAATGTCACAGCTATCACACCTCCTTCTCTTAAAACTTATGCGCGGCCCTGACAGTGCGAAAAACAACCATGCATTGCTTCCCCCAATGTCACAGCTATCACACCTCCTTCTCTTAAAACTTATGCGCAGCCCTGACAGTGCGAAAAACAACCATGCATTAATTCCCCCAATGTCACAGCTATCACACCTCCTTCTCTTAAAACTTATGCACAGCCCTGACAGTGCGAAAAACAACCATGCATTGCTTCCCCCAATGTCACAGCTATCACACCTCCTTCTCTTAAAACTTATGCGCAGCCCTGACAGTGCGAAAAACAACCATGCATTGCTTCCCCCAATGTCACAGCTATCACACCTCCTTCTCTTAAAACTTATGCGCAGCCCTGACAGTGCGAAAAACAACCATGCATTGCTTCCCCCAATGTCACAGCTATCACACCTCCTTCTCTTAAAACTTATGCGCAGCCCTGACAGTGCGAAAAACAACCATGCATTGCTTCCCCCAATGTAACTATGCACAGCATTCCACGCAGCCCGGCGCCTCAAGCCAAACATACTTTGTTCGATCTTTTCTTTTGGCACAATGGTCATGATGGACCGGCAAATCTCAAATTGAAGCTGCTTCAACTGATCTGGGGGGTCCCGGCTAGATAACTAGCAAAGGCACAAAGGATTCCTTTTGACTGGCGATTAAATATGATAATGAAAAGATTTAAAATAAGACACAATTATATAGTGTGACACATTACACCCTCTTAAAATTCGTCCGCGCAGCTGGGCGAAACAACAAGTTGAGGTTTGTTCAACTTACTACCTGTATGACTAACTTCTGCCATCTACATCCCAACATCATAAATTAAAAGGCTTGGCCTAGATATTTTACCTTTTGAAATTATCCAGTATTCAGACCCTAGTCCTCCTCCAGAATCTGGGCTGCCATCTGGAAACTGCATTCTTGTAGCCCATTGGCCACCATGGCAGCCAGTAGATCCCGGAAGCGATTCCCCCAGCTGTGCGTGACCATGATCTGGGCCCTTTGTGCCTTGTCCATGTTGTAAATGGAATTGGCATAGGAACTTCCTTCCACGGCAGTGAGAGGAACAATGACCTGACGGACCACATTTTTGGTCCTATGCACATCGGGCACATATTGCCAGCCATCGACGTGGCGAAGGTCCTCCTCGTAGAACTTCAGCAAACTGTTCAGCGTAAGGCCTCGCATGGACAATTCCTCTACTTTTTTCCTCCATGTCTCCCTCCTGTCACTGGAAGCCCGCAGAAAACAAGCCCTGCTATTGCTTGGCGCGGTGGCAGTGCCTGACTCTGTGACACGGTGGGTGCCCGAGAGCAAAACCACAGCCAGCGCATTGCCCAACACGTCCAAGACTTGCACAGAAACACTAACCAGAACTGGGATCAGGTGGTCCTGCGGGTAGGGGACACGCCAATAATGACAACTGAATGTCGTATGCACCTGCCAGAACACGGCTGGCGACAGAAGCACTGACAGTACTAAGCTTAGGGCCACTGCAATGGCCTGCGCCCGATTGTAACGCAACGCGCCTTCCAGGGACCCTCTCACGTCACTTGGCGTGTGCTGCAGCATCTGTGGCTGTAAGGCATCGCGCAAGCCGCGCACGGACCGAAAAAGGGCCCAAATGGCCAAAGCTGAGGCGATGACATTGGCGGCCATAAAGCAAGCGCCCAAGCCAAGTGCAGCCCACAAGAAGATAGTGATCAACGTCATTTGCCCGCTCAACAGCAATGGCAAAGCAGGGCCAATCATTAATGATCCAATCAGAAGGACGAATGCTTGAAGCTGCAAAAGCCTTCGAAGACATTGGCCCCCATACTGGCGTCCTGAGGTCTTCTCTAAAGCGTGAATTCGCCTCTCAAGAAGCCATTGCATCCAGACAAGTGCTGCAAAGTACAATGCCATCCGTATCCAAAATATCAGGTTCAACGGGTTCAAGAACACCCAGCACAGGTGTCCAGCTTCCATGGAAATGGTATTCTCTGGGTTGCGTGCCAAAACGCCATAGCGACATCCCCAGGGCTTGGCTGCGACCATTAAAGTCATGAGCACAGACTGGGACCAGTTCATGATGGCATAGCCCACAGCAGACATGGCATGCTGTGAAGCACCAGCTCTTGTCCACAGAAAGGCAGCAGCACAAGAAGCTCCGAAGCTTGCAAGCATCTGGGCGTAGAAAGCCAAAGTGTCCAGCCAGGCGCACTGAATTTCTGCGCCGTGAAAAAATTGCTCGTCTTTGTAGGGCTTGAACATACAGGTCAAAACGATGTTGACAGCAATGGCAACCACAAAAGGTCCAGATTTCCAGGCATTTTTTTGGGTCGTTCGACATGGCTGTGAAGACTTCTGCTGCATAGCCAACGCTAATCATCAAACGATAAATATGCATGAATAGAAGATCATCGAAGTCATTCACTATCACTTTCATGGTCTCCAGTGACACGACACACCCTAGATCTGGATCACATGAATTGTGATGTGTCAGAGCCAAAAAAACCTTCTGCGAGTGTTCATCGTTTCATAAGTTTCATACCTTTTTCACTACATGGAATGATAGGTGGCGATCTCTAGGAAGCTCTAAGTGGATCAAATTAATGATCAAATTACAGGCGAACGCCCGAATTCTGAGCACCCAAATATTGGATGAGAAGAATATCACTCCACCCAATAGCTGCTCTTGCTCCACCTCCAAGACTCCTCTTGGATCATCTTCCGCAGCTTGGCGGCCTAGAGGCGAAGCAGCAGCAGGAGGTTTTGGGGATGAAAAAGACGTAGATCCAAAGAAGTCTCACTGGAAAGAAAAATGTTTTAAATACTTTTATACAGTAACATCATTCGACTAGTCATATCATATCTCATATCTATTTGTGTCAATATCTCTGCAAGATGTTTTGTTTGTATGATGTTTATTAATAGCAATTTTTCTTATTCTGAAAAAAAACGATGGACCACAAATCTATTTGTTCCAGGCTACGCTACCCTGATGTTCTGCCTGGCGCTGCAGGGCCGTGAGACCTGAGGGCTTTTTGTGGCGTATCGCTTTGAGGGAGTTTAAAAAGGGTAGCCCGGTAGCCCCCGTTTAAAGCCTTTTTAAAGGGTTATGTTACGAACGTGCAAAAACAACATTGAGTGTAAGAAATCCTGATTAATAAATAAATAACTATATACTCCAAGCAACATGATTTAGATAATGAGATGTTTAGAGCCATTAGTCTTTTTGTTCCTGGTGTCTGGGAGGTCCTTGCACTCAGAACGATTTTGATCAGAAGCACCACTCCTTACTCAGCATTCTTTGGGTCTTTTGACTAGGTGGTGTTGACATTCTTGAAAAGCCTCTCTCTTTTGCTTGGATTTGCATAAGAAGCCTAGAAATAATAAAAAATGATCCCTAAAAGGCCCCTAAGAAGGCCCAAAAACTAAAACATCACCTTAAGCAAAACCTAGTTTGCCGAAGGCTCGTCCAGTTCTTCCTCGTCCTCCTCCCTCACTCTCCTCCTGCTGCTTCTGTTGCTTTCGGGCAGCCTTCGCTGCAGGCTTGTCTGCTTCTTCATCACTTGACTCTTGCTCAGCTGGAGCAGCCTTTGCAGAAGGCTCGTCCAGTTCTTCCTCGTCCTCCTCCTCACTCTCCTCCTGCTGCTTCTGTTGCTTTCGGGCAGCCTTCGCTGCAGGCTTGTCTGCTTCTTCATCACTTGACTCTTGCTCAGCTGGAGCAGCCTTTGCAGAAGGCTCGTCCAGTTCTTCCTCGTCCTCCTCCTCACTCTCCTCCTGCTGCTTCTGTTGCTTTCGGGCAGCCTTTGCGGCAGGTTTGTCTACAGTCTTCATCACTTGACTCTTGCTCAGCTGGAGCAGCCTTTGCAGAAGGCTCGTCCAGTTCTTCCTCGTCCTCCTCCTCACTCTCCTCCTGCTGCTTCTGTTGCTTTCGGGCAGCCTTCGCTGCAGGCTTGTCTGCTTCTTCATCACTTGACTCTTGCTCAGCTGGAGCAGCCTTTGCAGAAGGCTCGTCCAGTTCTTCCTCGTCCTCCTCCTCACTCTCCGCCTGCTGCTTCTGTTGCTTTCGGGCAGCCTTTGCGGCAGGTTTGTCTACAGTCTTCATCACTTGACTCTTGCTCAGCTGGAGCAGCCTTTGCAGAAGGCTCGTCCAGTTCTTCCTCGTCCTCCTCCTCACTCTCCTCCTGCTGCTTCTGTTGCTTTCGGGCAGCCTTCGCTGCAGGCTTGTCTGCTTCTTCATCACTTGACTCTTGCTCAGCTGGAGCAGCCTTTGCAGAAGGCTCGTCCAGTTCTTCCTCGTCCTCCTCCTCACTCTCCTCCTGCTGCTTCTGTTGCTTTCGGGCAGCCTTTGCGGCAGGTTTGTCTACAGTCTTCATCACTTGACTCTTGCTCAGCTGGAGCAGCCTTTGCAGAAGGCTCGTCCAGTTCTTCCTCGTCCTCCTCCTCACTCTCCTCCTGCTGCTTCTGTTGCTTTCGGGCAGCCTTTGCGGCAGGTTTGTCTACAGTCTTCATCACTTGACTCTTGCTCAGCTGGAGCAGCCTTTGCTGTAGCCTTGTCCTCTTCAGCTTGAAAAATACTCAGAGATGGCAGCACAAGGTTTCCTACCATAGTTCATAGTTTTATGCCCTGTGGGGTACCACATGATCAATTCCTACTACAGACCTTTTGGCATTATTAAGCGGGGCACTATGTTAAGTTCTGTGGATAGGATCTCTGGGGGTAGGTGAAAAACCCTAGCTTCCACGATTCCAAGGCGTGAAGAGATTTCAGGAGGAGTACCTGGTTGGTCATTCAACCATTGAACCCAAAAACTAAGGCAACACGGATCCTCGCACCCCTGGGTTTTTGAAGTCAATGCACGAAAACGCCTCACGTTTTGCCATTCCCTGTAGGATGATTTTCATCATGTGACGACGAAAAGTTGCAGCTGCACGTTTTCCATCTTTCTTCCATGTTTTGGGGCAGATGTCACTTCGGCACATTCGGCCTGAATATCCCGTCTGTGTGCAAGTGCAAAAAAAAATCCTTTTAACGTAGCCTCCCCTCTGTGTGCAAGTGCGAAAGAAAATCCTCCAATGTAGCATCCCGTCTGTGTGCAAGTGCAAGAGAAGATCCTTTAACGTAGCATCCCGTCTGTGTGCAAGTGCAAGAGAAGATCCTTTATGTTCCTTTAACGTAGCATCCCCTTTGTGTGCAAATTCAAAAGAAGATCCTTTAACGTAGCATCCCGTCTGTGTGCAAGTGCAAGAGAAGATCCTTTATGATCCTTTAACGTAGCATCCCCTCTGTGCGCAAGTGAAAAAGAAGATCCTTTAACGTAGCATCCCGTCCGTGTGCAAGTGCAAAAGAAGATCCTTTAACGTAGCATCCCGTCTGTGTGCAAGTGCAAGAGAAGATCTTTTGATGTAGCATCCCGTCTGTGTGCAGTGCAAGAGAAGATCTTTTAACCTAGCATCCCCTGTGTGCGCAAGTGCAAGAGAAGATCCTTGAACGTAGCATCCCGTCTGTGTGCAAGTGCAAGAGAAGATCCTTTAACGTAGCATCCCGTCTGTGTGCAAGTGCGAAAGGAGATCCTTTAACGTAGCATCCCGTCTGTGTGCAAGTGCAAGAGAAGAAGCATCCCCTGTGTGTGCAAGTGCGAAAGAAAATCCTCCAATGTAGCATCCCTTCTGTGTGCAAGTGCAAGAGCAGATCCTTTAACGTAGCATCCCGCCTGTGTGCAAGTGCAAGAGAAGATCCTTTATGTTCCTTTAACGTAGCATCCCCTTGTGTGCAAGTTCAAAAGAAGATCCTTTAACGTAGCATCCCGTCTGTGTGCAAGTGCAAGAGAAGATCCTTTATGATCCTTGAACGTAGCATCCCCTCTGTGCGCAAGTGAAAAAGAAGATCCTTTAACGTAGCATCCCGTCTGTGTGCAAGTGCAAGAGAAGATCCTTTATGATCCTTGAACGTAGCATCCCCTCTGTGCGCAAGTGAAAAAGAAGATCCTTTAACATAGCATCCCGTCTGTGTGCAAGTGCAAGAGAAGATCCTTGAATGTCGCATCCCGTCTGTGTGCAAGTGCAAGAGAAGATCCTTTAACGTAGCTTCCCTTCTGTGTGCAAGTGCAAGAGAAGATCCTTTAACGTAGCATCCCCTCTGTGTGCAAGTGCAGGAGAAGTTCTTTAACGTAGCATCCCGTCTGTGTGCAAGTGCAAAAGAAGATCCTTTAACGTAGCATCCCGTCTGCGTGCAAGTGCAAGAGAAGATCCTTTAACGTAGCATCCCGTCTGTGCGCAAGTGCAAGACAAAATCGTTTAATGTAGCATCCCCTCTGTGTGCAAGTGCAAGAGCAGATCCTTTAACGTAGCATCCCGTCTGCGTACAAGTGCAAGAGAAGATCCTTTCACGTAGCATCCCGTCTGTGTGCAAGTGCAAGAGAAGATCCTTTAACGTAGCATCCCGTTTGTGTGCAAGTGCAAGAGAAGATCCTTTAACGTAGCATCCCGTCTGTGTGCAAGTAAACATCACATCAACGCTATTGTAAAGCGACATCCAATCTGTGTGCAAGTAAACATCAATGCTTTTGTATAGTGACATCCAATCTGTGTGCAAGTAAACATGAATGCTATAATAACGCTATTGTAAAGTGGCATCCCATCTGTGTGGAAGTAAACATAAACGTTATTGCCCCACCCCACCCAACTCCACACATCCATGTAGCATGAGAATGAACATGAGAACGCCTGCGTGGGTGTGACAATACGTGTCACCAAAAACATGAGCATCTCCTTGTTTTGGGGCAAACCCACTGTCTGAGCCAGGCTGCCTGTCCTCGAGATTTCTGCAGGAGTACTTGCGCACACTTGCGCTTCCTCTCCACTTTTCGGTCCACGATCTCGTCGTCGAAGCTCTTGGGGTCAGTCCTCATCAGGGTGTTTGATCCCTTTGGTTCCTGCTCTCTTGTGAGGTACATGAAATGGGTGAGCAGCCTTCGAAGACTTGTGAGAAACCTTACGAGCACTCACATCCCACTCTTTGGGTGACATGATTCCGTTGTCTTACCTCAGCACATCTTTTTAAGTAGAATCCATTCACAGGTGTGCAAACAATTGTTCAAGCAAATGCGTCTGTCCAAGAATAGAGAACCATAGAGAACCCCCAGCCATCATTGGTTGCTTTCCCTTTCGATAACAATAGGCATGTTGGTGGCGGGGTTCCCCAACTCATGGAAACCATTTCTGTAAGATCATCAGGGTGTAATTATTGGCTATGTTCCATCGTACCTGGTTTTCACATGTTTTCACATCATTCAAAGGGAACAGTCTGACTAGGCTTTGACCGATCCTCGTATCCCATTTACCCTCTGGTTATGTCAAAATAGCTATTGAAAATGACCATTTATAGTGGATTTTCCCATTAAAAATGGTGATTTTCCATAGTTATGTTAGTTTATCAGAGGGTATCTCCATGTATAACTAGTTTGAACCCATTTTAAGAAACCCTCACATCATTGAAACTCCACATATCCCCACCAAAAATCTCCCCATCATTCTGAGCCTCCTGTTGATTCTTCAAAGCCGTGGGGCCCTGATCTCCTGCACTCTTTCCTTAGCGGCATTTGGCCTCAGCGGGGCCTCTGAGGCCAAAGATGGCTATAGGTGGCCACCCACGAAAAACAGAAACGTCGAACACCACAAGAATGATTGGATGGGATGCATTGTTGCGGTTCCGCTGCAACATTGTGTTTTCGGGGCCTCCAGCATCTCCACAACATGAAGTTGTTCTACACTTTTGGGAACCCCCTTACATACCACGTTTGGTAATGCTGTTGGGCTAATTGCAGTAATCATTTTTTTTCAAACAAAGGGGCTTGAAACCAGGTTTCTCACGAGTTCTGTGGCTTGTCTTTGGAGACATGTGGATATCTGGATGTTTCTGGATTTTGAGACTCCACAATGCCGGAAGATTTAGGGGACTCATACAAAACGTAAAACCAAATCTTGTGTATCACAAGCCTCCAACTTCTCAGCATCCCTTCCCTGTGTCCTCCTGCCTGCGTAAAGTGATGAAAGGCTTTCTGGAAACCAGTCCGCAGTAATTCTGCAGCACTAGGTTCTCCACTCAGTCTGCTCCTAACTGTGAACGACCAACTTGCAAATCTGTTTGAAAACAGGAATGTCACAAGACTATGAAAGCACATGGCCTGCCGTAGATAGCATCGCAAACATCTAACTTAAATAAAGGCGCCAGTGCCCATTTGAAATTCAACCTTTGCTACTGCAAACATTTTTGTCCGGAAGATTGGAGCTACGCGCCTTGGGGTATCACGAAGTTTCCCTTTCAAGGAAAAACACACTTCTCAACACCATCAACACCAGGGTTCTGTACACGCTTTGCTGGAAGACCATAATGTCGCCGCAAGATATCAGCTGCAGTCAACTCAACCTTGGCGCCGCGTCAAGGATCCGCAGGGGACCTGCGTAGTGATACACATATGCACAGAGTCTTGTGATTTTCACGCAGCAAGACACAATGTTCATTCAGATGAGCTCCCATCAAAATCGTTTACATCCCAGTAGCTACTCTTATATATGTATATATAATTATATATATATAATTATACATATACGTATATCTAGAGGTTGTCGCTTTCCGGTATTTTGTACCACTATCGCTTTTGGGGGGCCCAAAAACCCTACATATAGTGTTTCGTGCACATCTCTGACAAAAGCGCTTCTGCAATGCTACAGTGGTCTTCAATCATTTTGATCCAACGGATCGCCCTACGATCTCAGGGGCCTTCTGACCTCTCTTACTGCAGGCTTTTGGCGCTTCGCGATTCCTCAAAAATGGATGGGCTGCACTCCCCGCTCCTACTGTGATGAAGATCCCATGATATCAAAATCCTGCCCAATCCCTGTTTAGCCCTATGACCCTTCAAACACATTGGACAACACTTTGCAAATTTCTTCCAAGGACTCTTGGACAGCTTTTTCTAGCAAATGACTGATCAGAACCTCCTTGCCCAAATTGTGTATTGGGCCCAAAAAACCCTGGCTTGAAGAGTACTGTCAGTCTGGGACCCTGGGAGCGGTGTTTGTTTCAGGCTTCGATTTAGACTTCCAAGGCATTCCACGGGATCCGGGTCCGAGCTTCGGCAAACTTCCCGGTGCTTCCTGCCATTGACGTGCACCTCCACACTGGCCAAGTCCTTGGGCAGAAAAAAATGACTGGTGACTGGATGGTAAATGGAATGCAAATGGAATGTAAATGGATATTCATCCTGATGATATATGATGATACTAACATATTCTAGGTATTGACAATTATTGACATGTATTGACCCATCCCCAGCGCGTATCAACTTGCTTCTGTCCGTGTGAAGTCCCTTGCATCTTTAGCCACTCATGATCACTCATGTTCCAGTTCCGAGGCACGTGGAATGGGCCAACTCCACATGCCTTGCAGAAGTAGAGCCCGAAGCTTTCTGATGAGCAAAAGTCTGAGACTTCAATGCCTGGAGCGCCAACAGCTTTCAGCACCCATGGCTGCAGTTGGAAGCTGCCATATATATATATATATATATGGTATATATATATATATACAGTACACACCACATATGCAGTTTGTCAAGTCTTCAGTGTGGCAATACGTGTTGATGCTACTGGTAACATCTTGCAACAATATGACCGGGCACGGGAAAATCATCCGTTACCGACTGTGCTTTTTTTTGCCAGCTGTGCCTTCTTCCTGCAGCTCTACACTCAATGCCAGTTTGGCTTCAACGGGCTCCTCAGTTGCAAATCACTGCTCCAGGAGAGGCCAGGATCAGCTGCTGGATGATATTGGAGCCAGGATACTGGTGGCTTCGCTTTCCTCTGGTGTTTCCTGCCCTTGCGGCAGCGCCAGGACCAAAGCTCAAGGATGGAACGCAGCAACTCAATCAGTGTCAAAGTTGAACGGTCAATTCCCAAGTGATGATTCAATGATGCCAGGGGTCTTGAACTTCACCAACAACAAAATAGATCAAAATATATAGCAAAGCACCAAAATACCAAACACACACATCCTGAATCATCCTGAATCCGGTATCAAGAACGTTCACATGCGTTACCCTCGAGCTTCTGAATGCCTATAAGACATTTGCTCCTGTTTCACACCAAACGAAAGTAACACCCCAACGTGACTGTACCTGGCCGTGATAATCACCTGATATCCCTCCGCTTGCCTGAACATGCCCTTCCATCTGTTCCTCGGTGCAACTTGAGTGCGGCAAGCTTCGAACCATCCGGGCCCGCAACAATTATTAACAACACATTCAAAATCATCAACACATCATCAACAATCCATCAGCAGCCATTCAAAAATCATGAAACGTCATCAAAATTCAAACACCACCCGCCATCAAAAATCATCAACACATCATCAACTTCCAATGTCCATTCCACTACATCAAGATACATCAAGATACATCAGCTGTAATATCAGCTGTACCTTTCGTCGTTTTGCGCCGCAACGCTTCGCCCAGCTGCGGTGCTCAGAATGGGCCCCGCATTACAGAGCTTGCAGTAGAGGCCATCGTGGCGACGACGGATTCCTGTGAGGGCCATAGGATGGCCATGGGCCATGGGTCAATCTGGGTCAACCTGGGAAATATGATGATGGATGATGGATGGATGACCTTTATGGACCATTTAGATATCAAGCTCCACTTATATAATATTATAGGTCAATGATTTTATATGATTTTATGGAATAGCCCAACTTGTGGCCATGGGTCATGGGAAAACTCTTCCGGGAAAACTGATGATCATCCACTGGAATTGGGCGGAGCAGCTTCATTTTCGTTGTGACCTCACCACCCAAATCCAGAAACGACTAGAAACGGTCCTTGTTCTTCCCATCCATCCTGACAGTGACGGTCCCTATGGTCCCTCACATCATGTGAAAAAATCAGGACTTCGGGTTGACAATCACTTTCAACTGGTCTGGGTCGCACAGTGACATGTGGTTTCCTGAAGTGGGGGACCTCAAAATCATCCAAAATGAGACACTCTCAACGCGGAAACCACGGATTTCGGTATTTTTTCTGTAACATTCTCTAATCTATTTCAGGAAACACCCCCCAAAAACATCCAAAAACGATATGTCACACCCAGAATTTGTGCAGATCCTCCGGTGGAAAACGACTTCTCAAAGGTTGCCCGCAACTGGCCTTGGCTCCGGAGGTTGCCTCCAGCTACAAATGGCTCCAGTGGGTCCCCAATGATGAACATCCCAACGCCTAAGCCTTTACAGGTAGGGAGAACACAGTAGGAAACCTTGGGAAGCCCTAGTCAATATTGGGTCAAAAGCCTCATTCAAATCAAACCGGAAGTGGTTTTTGATTTATATGTTTGGCCATTGGGCGTCGAAACCAAAGCCCTTTGGACAATGGTTACCTTTCTATTATTTAGAGAAAGAGCAAAACATCGTCCCGAAAAGGCCCTTAAGAAAGGCCCAAACAGTAAAAACATCACCCCAAAAAACACCTTTCAAAGGGCTCCAGACGGGTAACTCCGGTCACTCTGGTAATCAGTAGCTCAGTAGGTTCCCTTCTTCGGTAACCGAGCGACTCGCAAAACCCCAGGCGTCTCCAGGCCTTGGCTGAGATCTCTTCTTCCAATTGCTCCACCTACGGCAAAGCGCTAAGCGCCGGGCTGGACGTTCGTCGTATCAAAACAAAGACCCCGTTTGGTCGTCCTTTAGGAGGCAACTTGGCTATCTGAGCTCAGCACTCTAAACGAAGGCCAGGCTGGGTTTTTGACCTGTCAAAGACTTCGTAGGGATGCCGATGATGGTTGAGGCACCTGAAAGCCACAGCATCCTGCTAGTAGCGGATGATCAAAGGATCATCAAACGATCATTTTTTGTTCCAGCATTCGGAAGCGGCAACTATGTATATGTAAGCACCCTATGTCTTGCACCCGCTGTGGAGTGAAAGTAGTTCAATCTGTACGACTGTACGAAATTCCACGAGCCTGTATGCAAAAACCTAGCTAGTTAAATATACTGTACATGTAAGTTAAGATGCAATTGATTTTGCGCGGCCTCTTCTGTCACTTCTTGACCGACCGCGCTACATGGAAACAATGATGGATATTCCGCAAGGTGGTGGAACCTCTGTCACTTCCAATTGCTCTGTGCGCCAAAATCTCCAGACCTTCCCCGTGCCACCATCCGCTAAACTCCAACGAAGCAGTCGGCCTGCTTCGCCCATGCGTTCCAAATTGTCCGACGTTTGCCAGGTTTTCAAGAGACCTGAACCTTCGTCAAAGATCAGGGACTGCAATTGTTCATTGAAACGCGGAATCGAAACATACTTTTGGATCCTGGTCAAAATCATCTGGAGATCGTTTCCGTTGGCGCATTCCATGTGTGCGATATCTATCCTCTGAAGGGTCCTCTGTCGTTGTAACAAAACTTTTTTTGACACGAGTTTCAAGCTTTGATGCATCCGAAGACGTTTGCCCTCCGCAATCTCAGCAATGCACCAGGCACGATTGAATAGGTCCATGGACTTGTCCACCGCAATCAAATGTTTACAGCGGCCTGTGGCAGCTAGGTGTTTCATCATGTCATCGAACTTGTTGATTTCGGATTCAGCTGCACGGCCATCTGGATCGTGGATGTTGACCATTGAACAGTTGCAAGTTGGATGCAACCACTTGAATACAGGATCCCAATCATATGGATTGGTATGACAGATTGAGATGTGCTGATTCACGGAGAAAGCACACACCCAGTAAACATCCTCTAGCCGACGTCCTAAGATGCTGCGAAGAAGCTGTGGGTCCTCAGGGTTTGAATTAAGAGCCTCAAATAAAACCAATGTGTTGTTATCTAACTCAAGACATTACAAGTAATCTTGGCAAGCCAAGGGCGGAAGTTTCCAAAAGGGAAAAAAACTATAGGAAGTGGCTGTGCAACACATGCCACCTTCGCTCTTTTTGTTTTTCCTAATGCCTGAGTCACCAATGCTGCTTGCGTGGCAGGTCCTAGTGAAAGTTTTGTTTTCTCTGTACTTTTATATTGAAATCTCTGCTTCCTCTGTATCAAAATCTCTACTTTCCTTGTACTTTCCTACTGAAATCTCTTGTGCTTACTCTGTACTTTTTGCATGGGATCTCGAACTTTCTCTGCACTTTTCTATTGAAATCTCTACTCTCTTTGTACTTTTCTATTGAAATCTCTATTTTGTGCACTTCCTACTGAAATCTCTAATTTCTCTGTTCTTGTCTAATAGTACCTGTACTTTCTCTGCACTTTTCGAATGAAATCTCTACTTTCTCTGTACTTGTCCAAGAGAATCTCCACTTTCTCTGCACTTTTCTTTTGAAATCCACTTTCTCTGCACATTCCATTGATGTCTTCACTTTCTGTATACTTTTCCAATAGAATCTCTACTTTCTCTGTACTTTCCTTTTGAAATCTTGACTCTCTCTATACTTTTCCAAACAAGTTTCTACTTTCTGTGTACTTTTCTATTGAAATCTTTACTTTCTCTAACTTGTCCACTAGAATCTCTACTCTACTATCTCTTCCCTACTTTCTCTATACTTGTCCACTAGATAGAATCTCTACTATCTCATCACTTTCCTATTGAAATCTCTACTTTCTCACTTTTCCACTGGAATCTGTACTTTCTCTGAACTTTTGAAACCTCTACTTTCTCTATACTTTTCCACTAGAACCTCTACTTTCCCTCGACGTCTAATGAAACCTCTGCTTTCTCTGCACTTTTCTATTGAAATCTTTACTTGCTCTATACTTTTCCACTAGAATTCCTACTTTCTCTGTACTTGTTCTATTGAACTCTATATTTTTCAAATAGAATCTCTACTTTCTACTTTCTCTGCACTTTTCTATTGAAATCTCTGCTGTCTCTATACTTTTCCAATAGAATTTCTACTTTCTCTGTACTTTTCTGCTGAAACCTTTTCTTTATACTTGTCCACCAGAATCTCTACTTTCTCTTCACTTTCCTATTGAAATCTCTACTTTCTCTATACTTTACCAATAGAATCTTAACTTTTCGATTGAAATCTCTACTTTCTCTGTACTTTTATTTCTATTGTCTCGATACTTTTCCAATAGAATTGTTCCCCACCTGCCAGGTGAGGGTTGTTAGATTTTATCAGAGTTGTTCTCCTCCTCGGCTAGCTGTCCTCCTCCTCGTCCTCCTCGTCCTCCTCCTCATCCTCCTCCTCCTCCAGTTTCTCCTCGACCATGTCTGCATCAACTTCCACCTGCACTTCCGCCTTGCCAACTCTTCGCCAAGCTCTTTGCCAACTCTCTTCGCCAAGCTCTTTGCCAACTTCCCAGCTCAGTGTGCACCGCTGGACCTCAACCTGAAACCTTCCCAGCTCAGTGCGCACTGCTGGACCTCAACCTGGGACCTTCCCAGCTCAGTGTGCACCGCTGGACCTCAACCTGGGACCTGCCCAGCTCAGTGTGCACCGCTGGACCTCAACCTGGGACCTGCCCAGCTCAGCGTGCACCGCTGGACCTCAACGGCCAGATAGAATGCCAGCAGATATGCCAGATAGAATGCCAGATAGAATGTCAGATAGAATGCCAGAAGATATGCCAGATAAAATGCCAGAAGATGCCAGATAGAATGCCAGAAGATATGCCAGATAGAATGCCAGATAGAATGCCAGATAGAATGCCAGATAATATGCCAGATAGAATGCCAGATAGAATGCCAAAAGATATGCCAGAACATATGCCAGAAGATATGCCAGATAGAATGCCAGATAGAATGCCAGAAGATATGCCAGAACATATGCCAGGTAGAATGCCAGAAGATATGCCAGATAGAATGCCAGATAGAATATCAGAAGATATGTCAGATAGAATGCCAGAAGATTTGCCAGTAACAAAATGTATAAATGTCATGGTGGGGATCACACGAAGTAAAGTAATTATTTTCTCTGTCGATACTTCTAATGATTCTAATGAAATCTCTACTTCCTCTGTATACTTTTCCATTGAAATCCTCTATTGAAATCTCTACCTTCTCTTCCTTCTGCACAGCCCTGACAGTGCGGGAAACAACCATGCCTTGCTTCCCCCATTTCCCCCAATGTCACAGCTATCACACCTTCCTCTCTGAAAACTTGTGCGCAGCCCTGACAATGCGAGAAACAACCATGCCTTGCCTCCCCCGCTGTCACGGCTATTGCACCTCCTTCTCCGAAACCTTCTGCACAGCCCTGACTGTGCGAGAAGCAGTCATGCCTTACATCCCCCTATGTCACAGCTATCGCACCTCCCTCTCGTGAAACCTTCTGCGCAGCCCTGACTGTGCGAGAAGCAACCATGCCTTGCTTCCCCCAATGTCACAGCTATCGCACCTCCCTCTCTTGAAACCTTCTGCGCAGCCCTGACAGTGCGAGCAGCAACCAGGCACGCCTTGCTTCCCCCGCCGGTGTCACAGCTATTGTATACCTCCATCTCTGAAACCTTCTGCGCAGCCCTGACAGTGCGAGAAGTAACCATGCCTTGCTTCCCCCAATGTCACAGCTATCACACCTCCTCCTCTTAAAACTTATCCGCGGCCCTGACAGTGCGAAAAACAACCATGCATTGCTTCCCCCAATGTAACTATGCCCACGCAAGTTACAAAGAAAAGCTATGCACAGCATTCCACGCAGCCCGGCGCCTCAAGCCAAACATACTTTGTTCGATCTTTTCTTTTGGCACAATGGTCATGATGGACCGGCAAATTTCAAATTGAAGCTGCTTCAACTGATTTGGGGGGTCCCCGCTAGATAACTAGCAAAGGCACAAAGGATTCCTTTTGACTGGTGATTATATATGATAATGAAAAGATTTTAAATAAGACAAAATTATATAGTATGACAA